AAAAAAAAAAAAAGATTTTATTTATTTGAGAGAGAGAGCAGGTGCACAAGGTCGGGGGGGAGGGGCAGAGGGAGAGGGATAAGTAGCCCCATGCAGAGATCGACACAGGGACATGGGGATCAATTCCAGGACCCTGAGATCATGCCTGGAGCCAAAATCAGACACTTAACTGAGCCACCCAGGCACCCCGAAATTGGAAACTTTCTTTCTGCCATGAACTGTTGAAGTGACTACAAAAATTTTAAAAAGATGCAGTCTTCTAGAAGATCCAACTCCGGTTGTAATTACAAAATGTAAGCTATAATAGTCGAGTGGTAAATGCCATATCAATATATAGAATGGTTGAGAATATGGAGACAAACTGCCTGGTATAAAAAGAAAGGCTTCAGGGTGCCTGGGTGGCTCACTCGTAAAGCATCTGCCTTCGGTCATGATCCCAGGGTCCTCACATCGGGCTCCCTGCTCAGTGGGAAGCCTGCTTCTCCCTCCCCCATTCCCCCTGCTTGTGTTCCCTCTCTCGCTGTCTCTCTCTGTCATATAAATAAATAAAATCTAAAAAAAATTTTTTTAAATGCTATTAATTAAAAAAAAAAGGCTTCACTGAGACAGTATATTTGAGCTGTGTCAGGATAAGTGATTAATCAATAAAGAAATAGTACTGAAAGTTTTTTTTATTATCTTTTTAGCCTTATTCTGTCCCCTTTTTTTTATTGTGGTAAAATATACATAACAATTTGTTATTTTAGCCATGTTTAAGTGTACAATTCTGTGACATGAAATCGACTCATGTTGAACATCACCATCCATCTCCAGAACTTTTTCATCTTCTCCAACAAAAACCCTGTGCCTGGTAAATTCCATCTCATTTCCCCCTCCCTCTAGTCCCTAGTAACTACCGTCCTACTTCATCCTTATGAATTTGCCTACTCTAGGTAGTTTTCCTGTTATCAAACACTCTCAGCCCACTAGCCCAATGTAGTTGTTATTCAATAAATCTCTAAATTAAATGGCAATTAGGAATGGAAAGGCATTACTTATGCCAGTGGCTTGGTAATATTTCTTGAATGGACTCAAAACTGCTAATTATTGTTATTAATAGCCCTATTGATTTGTAGGAAAACTTTTGTTTTCTCCTGGTTTTTTTCCAGTTTTATTGATATATAATTGACATATAACATTGTATTAAAGTATACAACATAATGATTTGATATATGTATATATTGTGAAATGATTATCATGGTAATTTTAGTTAACATCCAACACCTCACATAGTTACAACTTTTCTTCTTGTGATGATTAAGTACTTTTTGCTTAATTTTTTTTCACCTAGTTTACTTTCATTTTTAGACTGAATCTGGGTATGGGTCTGAATCCAGCTTACGTCGACATGGCTCTATGGTGTCACTGGTGTCTGGAGCAAGTGGTTATTCTGCAACATCCACCTCTTCATTCAAGGTTTGTGGTTATGTATGCTTTAAGGCAGCATAAATTGAGTTTAGTACTGAATGTTGTGAAAAGAACTTATGTGATAGTTTTTTGAAATACATTTTCTACAGTGTAATTTATTTGATGTTATAGAATAGTTTTTAAGGGGCAAAATCATGATTCTTAGAAATATAAAATGAACATATCAGATTTTATTTCATTCATTAATGAGTTAAGATATAAAGAAAAAATTGGTTCAAGGGAGAATATAAGGAATATTGAAATGATTTTGCTAATATATGCAAAGCTGGTCAGTATTCAGAGATTAGTAACTAAGTATATCCACTGGACAAAGTTCATTTGTACCTATATGGAATCGAATCATTTACATTACTCTCAGTTTTCTGCTACTTAAGGAGTTGTAGGGGCGCCTGGGTGGCTCAGTTGGTTAAGCAACTGCCTTCGGCTCAGGTCATGATCCTAGAGTCCTAGGATTGAGTCCCGCATCGGACTCCCTGCTTGGCCGGGAGTCTGCTTCTCCCTCTGACCCTCCCCCCTCTCATGCTCTCTCTGTTTCATTCTTTCTCTCTCAAATAAATAAAATCTTTAAAAAAAAAAAAAAGTTGTAAAGTAGCTCCAATGCAACGAAATCAAAGATTCTCTATGACCAAACACCCTCTTAAGAGTTGTGTAGATGACACTCACCATTCCTTTGGAAGGTCACCCAGTAACATATTTGCCCAATCAAAGTCTTTCACAATTTTTCCTCACAGTGTTTAATTTGAAAATATTAAATGTTATATTAGCAAATTGCCAGACTTACTGCTCTCTTATTTCCTTCAAGCTTATCACTGTCAAGCCACTAATTAGTCATGTTCAAGTCTATTCCTGGGAGTATTATGTTGAACCTGACAGCTCTCCTTACCCCATTCCCTCAATAATAAGATGTACACCTTAAAAGGTGATGAAATATCATAGGAGTAAATCATTTCCAGTTTTGTTAACTTGGATTACATGCCCCCTTTTATTTGTTTTTCAGAAAGGCCACAGTTTACGTGAAAAATTGGCTGAAATGGAAACCTTTAGAGATATCCTATGTAGACAAGTTGATACTTTACAGAAGTACTTTGATGCCTGTGCTGATGCTGTCTCCAAGGATGAACTTCAAAGGGATAAAGGTTAATTAGGCTATTACCACTATTTTTACTTGGAGAATGAATGGATTTAAAGCCTCTTGATCTTAAAGGGTAATGTCTTTAAGTGATAAAGGTAATTATAGTCACTTTTGCTGAAAACTCCCAATGTAACAGATTTTGGTGTCCATATAACTTAAATACTTTAATAATGCATCCTAAGTAATCTGATCCCCCCCATACCAGATACGACTGAAATTTTTTTAGGTGATTTTTAAGCTCTTTATTCCATTAAAAAATATATCTATCATCTTGGTAACATGGGGCATTTCACAGGAGTATGTCTAATAAATTTACCCCATGGGGAACCTGGCTGGCTCATTCAGTAGAGCATATGACTCCTGATCTCAGGGTCATGAATTCAAGCCCCGCATTGGGCCTAGAGCTTATTAAAAAAAAAAAGATTGTACCCCATCATGAGTCTTAGAAGCATGTTTATGTTAAATCCTCCAAATCTGAAATCATTCCATCTCTTTATTCCACTCTCTTCCTTCTCTTCTTCTCCCTTTCTTTTTCTCTTCACTTTTCTCTCTCCCCATCCCTTCCTCTGGCCTTTTTCTCATAGAAGAAGAAACTAATAATGGAGCTACATAGAGATTTAAAAATAATATTTAGTGAATTTTTTTTATTTAAGCAAGATGATCTTCTTTTAACTTACTCATAATGTGAGTTTTTAAGTTATTTTTTCATTGTTACTGCTAAAGATATTACTGTTAACATCTCTTCTTCATTTTTCCTTTTATTTGCCATGAAGGCAAAAATGAATTACTCATAGCAGTATTACTAAATAGCACGAAGTTCATTCCCCGTATAACTAGGTTACTTGACATGGTTTCATTTCTTGGTTTTATTAAATATGTTTGATCTGAGCTCAGATTCTTTTTGTCTTCTGTCTTCTTTTTCCTCCTTTTGCCTTCATTTGGATTGAGTATTTTTAAAATAATTTTATTTGTTAAGTCCTTTGTTGGCTTTTTAGTTATAACTCTCTGTTATTTTAGTGGCTACTTTAGGGTTCTAGTATGTACATTTAACTTATCATAGTCTGCCTTCAGGTAACATACCACTTCTAACATAGTATAAGAACCTTACAATTATGTCTTTTAATTTTTCCCCACTACTGAGGCAAGAGTCTTCAGTGTTCTCTAACCAGTAGCCTATGAATTACAAGTTTTCCAGTCTGTGTTGTGGAAGCAGGAACTTTTCCCTGTACCATGTAGGTTTTGGATACTGTCCCTGGAATTTTTTCATATGGTTCTTTCCCTGACCTCTATAGTTTCTTCACTTGTAGGTGCTAACAATACTCTACTGAATTCTCAAGGGGACCTTCTGCTGATCTCTGGAATTCTTTCTCTGTACAGGTCTCTCATCTGTAGTCCTCTGTCTTGACCTCCAGTTGCCTTTGCTTTCTGTACTGTCATCTACTCCTCACCTTAGAGAGTCTGCCAGACTCCTTCTGCTTTCCTCCTTATTCTACCACTTGGAAATTCTCCTGAGACACTAACCTAGAGCAATCATAGGGCTCATGTTATTTGTTTTCTGACTCTCCTTTGTTGCCCAATATCCAATGTCTTGAAAACCATTGTTTTGTGTAGTTTTTCCAGTTTTTTAGTTTCATGCTAGAGGGTAAGCCTATTTATTCTACCTTGGTCAGAAGCAGAAGCCCATATTCCTCTTAAAGTACTTAATTTTGTCTAAATTAAGTAACCTTGAAGTTCTTTATATTTGATACACTAAGTTTTAGGCTCTTTAACATTTGATATTTATTTCTCTAAAAATAAAGGCAGTTGAACTTCTCTTTCTCCTTCATTAAGAAAAATGTGTGTATTCCTTTTTAATCAAATTAAACACTACACATCATCTTTCATTTGCTTGTAGATGGCCTTTTAAATAAAAACAGGATATATACGGAATTGATTTCTTTTTAAGTCATCATATCAATAGTATATAACGTGTCAAGGGCAAAAGTGATAGTGGAAGGAGTAGAAGTTGGGATGCAGTGATAACCAGGTTGTATAGAAGTTTTGAAAAATAATTTTAAACTATTCATGTTTGAATAAATAGCATCAGTGGTAGACTAACGTATATCACAAAGTACTACAGACTAGGTGGCTTAAACAACAGAAATTTATTTTCTCACAGTTCTGGAGGCTAGAAGTCTGAGATGAGTTGTAACCAAGGTTGGTTTCTTCTGAGGGCCATAAGGGAAGGATCTCATTTAGGTCTCTCTCCTCGGCTGTCTTCTCCCTTTGTCTTCATATCATCTTCCTCCTGTAAGTGCCTGTGTTTAAGTTTCATTCTCTTACAAGGACACTGGTCGTATTGGATTAGGACCCACCCTAATGACCTCTGGAAAGATGCTGTATCCAGATAGAGTCACATTCGGAGGTATGGAAGGTTAGGACTTCAGCATATGAATGTTGCAGCTACACATCAACCTGTAACAACTGATGTCCCTATAAATGCTATCTTAAGAAATACTGATGCTTTTAAGAATACATATTGGGTAAAGATGAAATAAGGACTTGTACCATAGTTTCCTACTTTGTAGATCAGAGTTGATGAACTGAGTCTAAGGATCTTTCATTAAATTATCAATACTAAGTCTATGACAGCAGTGGATTATGGGTAGTGAATTCATCTACTTTTGTTTGTTTAGCCTTCCTGCTAACTTGATAAGTGATTAATCCACTACCTTTACTCTGTATTTACCTTTCCAGTGAGATTTATTCTTTCATATTTTTTTTTTGTTGATAATGAGAGCACTTTCTTTTCAGCCTACAGAAGTCCCTTTAACATTTCCTGTAAGGCTAATTTAGTGGTGATGAACTCCTTTAGCTTTTGCTTGTGTGGAAAACTCTATCTCTCCATCAGTTCTGAATGATAACTTTCCTGGGTTGAATGTTTTTGGTTTGAAGTCTTTTTTTATGGCTTAAAGAATTTTAAGAATCGCTGTTCTTTATTAAGTGTGTCATTGAAATAATAATAGCAAATTCTCATTTTATTTTAGGTGTTCAGTGTTTTTATATAAAATGTTTTATCAGAACTGTTAGTAAGACACTTTCAGCCCAACTTCCTCCCTACCATTCCCACACATGGCTTCAGTAGGATTTAATTAACCCTTAAAATCATAGATATATGGGTTTACAGAAATAGAAGACATTATCTCTAACCTAAACTTACTGTTTAATTTTAAAGGAAGACAGGTATCACATTAAAGGAAGGTTTCTATTAATCTTGTTCTTTTGTTCATTGTTAGTTTAATGACTTGAAATAGATTACTTAACATTTTTCCACATCTCTTTTCTCAAGTGTAAAGTGGATATCATATCCCGCACATACGACTGTGAGAATTAAGTGAGAATATATAGATTAGCACTGTG